AGAAGTTTCTGGCACAGATGAGGTGTTTAGCAGATTATTTGTGGAATATGGAATGATTGAATTTAAATGATGGTTACTTAACTGTCTTTTAAAGGAGATATTTTTAGACATAATCATAGGCAGGGTCTTTGTCCAAAATATCGTTAGACTATTTCAGATGTAAAGAAAGCTGATAAATGGTTTTATTTTCTCTCTCCCACCCATGGGGGCAGAAACATCAGCACTCTTTTGCTTCTCTTAAAGTCAGCCTTGGAGTTTCCTGGCCACACTCCTTGCTCGTTTATAATGCATGGGCACTCAGATTTTTGGTTCTGGTGCTTGCTCCACAGTGCTTCTTATCAATCATAACATGAAGTTGGAATATGGATTTTCGTGTGACGTAAGAAAAGTTTGCTAAGGGTCATTAAAAACATGGGGATTGTGATTCTAAATACGTATTTTTTTACTGTCACTTTTAGCAAGATGTTCCTACTTCCCTTTTGCATTAGTACTTTATATAACATTAACTCATCCCTTATACTATATTAAAGATCAAAAATGAGCATATGCCAAACGCCTACATTTTCCAGAACATGCAAGTACAACATTACTTAAGAGCAGCAAAACTCTTTCCTAGCAGAACCCTATACAACACGTAGCACAAAGCTAGGTGTTAGCAGCAGACCGGGGCGCCTATGAGTTTTGTCTGCCCACTCTCATTTCTCATCTTCTGTCTTCTGGTTCTTACGGAGACTTCCTCCTTCATTCTATTTGGTCTTGGGAGGTCGTCATCACGAGGTCCCCATCACTCCACCATGGATAGGGATGAATCTATGACACTGAATGGCCAATTCAAGTGCACCATCTCCTGGCAACAGTGCTTAGTTCAGAGATGGGCAATGACTCAACGTCCTGAAGTTGACGGTCAGAGAATAAATCTGAGAAGGAAGCCATGAAGAACAGGCAGGGCTCTGACGACGTCACTGGAACCACTATATCCAACTGTGCTTGAGATCCCCAACAGGATTTCCCAGTTAAGTAAAACAGTATAGTCTCTTTTTGTTTAAGCAAGTTTGAGTTGGGATTTCTGTGACTTGCAACCACAAGGAGTCCTAATTAATATAGTATTTTATTTGAAAAGTAAAATAATCGTGATATTAACCAGGCTGTCTTGAATCTTACTTTTCTTAACATTTGAGGTTGTAATTATGCTTATTTAAATGCCTACAATTAAATGACATATCCAAGTTCAAGACACACTTAGCCTGGAAGCTCATGTCAAACAATTCTTTATTTTTTATGGTACAAATTAAAAGTGACAGATCTGAAGCTGTTAAGAAATACACAAAGTGCAGCTTTACTGACCATACAGATATTGCTCTAGATTAAGTACAGTTTTGTCAGTTTTTTTTTTTTTTTTAAACGTTAAGCAACCTGTGCAGATACATCAACTTTGGTTTCAATGTCAGAGCAAGTAAGGAGCTTTAAAACATCCAGTTTGGCTTCTTGGTCACAAGTCCATCATGTCAGTGTCTCGTCATGATGAATTTTTCAGAACCACCCAGTCCATTTTCCTGCCCTCCTTCCTGCTGCCTGCTCCGGGCACGGAGCAGCAGACCTCTTTGTGGTGCCTCATCCATGACCCTGGTGACCAGTCTAGATCACAGCACACAGGACAAAAAAAAAAATCACGTTCTTAACAACAAATAAACAAATGTGCCTCACATAATTTCAGGTTGAAGACAAGCAAATCACATGACAAAAAGCTGATTACAAAATGTTATCCAAACAGATTTTACAGTCAAACTTTGAAATGAAAATCAATTTCCTTTTTCTCCATTTGTTTTAAGCTTGCTCATTAACTGGGTACAAGTAGAGTGCTGAGGTAAAACATTGATGAACAGTTTGTATTTCTTTTTTTTTTTTCTTAAAATAGGAACAGTTTAGTATTGCAAGATTGTCAGCAACATTTAGCCATATCTATACAATATGCATATACCTACAAACATTGAGCTTTGGTCCAGCGTAGAGAAGACGAGCAAAGGCATTTTACGATTTTTTTTTTTTTTTTGGTTATAGCTTGAGTTCTTTGATACTCCTCTACTTTTTTTTTCTTAGCTCCTTTTGCTTTCTTGTTCTCTCTTTTGTGTGTGTGTTTGTGTACGTGTATCTGTGTGATTACAACATAAAGAAATCAAAACCCTGCAATGCGATTAAAACTTCCAACTGTTCAAAATGCTTTAGGTTGAAAAAGGAAAACAAACGAACCAACCAACCCCCAAACAAGTGTAAAATATAGCATCCGTTGTCTTTTTTTTGTTGTTGTTCAAGTAATGAAGAAAATGAAGATGACAATAATTTAAAAATATTAACAATATTGAAGCTTGAAATACAATCATACACGCCTGAAGTGGCTTTTATAGTTTGTTGGTGGCAACCTCTACCTTCAGTTTATGGAAACATAAAAGACACTTAGATGCTACTGGCATATGAAGTTGCTTACAAGTGGAGATAAGAAATGTCATGATAAAATTAAGCGATAGGTGTGGTCCCAAAGACTTATGGGTTATACATTATAATTTATATTCCTAAGAATCTGTTCAGGCACCGTTTTATGCCTCATAGCAAAAAATTTATCTGTAAAAAATTAATATAAGAAGCATTACAACACCTTATAAATAATTTATAAAACAATACAAAATTATAAAACTATAAAAAAATCACTGCACGTGAATGGTTTTACGACTGTGGGATGAATAGCTTTCTTTTTTGTTCTGCTCTGGAAGGTTACATTTATGTTATATTTTCACTGTCCTAGTTATACCCTCCCAATTTTAGATCTCAGAACTGAGCAGGCCTTATGTAACCGCTGCCAGCATATACTTAAACATTTAGCATCTATCGTATGTCATTTTGTTTACTTCTCTTCCTGGAGAGCTTTTCTTGATGGAATTTGGAGCAGGTCCTAGGAGAACACAAAATCTGTTTTAATCAATAGATTGTTGAGTTTCTGGGTTACTGGTACTTGTGCAGTTTTGGAGGAGGCAAAATGGGCACCATGATGTTGTGGGCACTGAAGATCAGGCCAGCTATTGTCCACTGAGCATCAAGTTGGTGAACTGGAAACACCTTTACAAGCACCTGGTTCCACTTCCAGGATTTCTTTTAGTTTCTTTGCTGGTAGTCTCCTGACTGCTGTTATGAATCCATCCTGGAGGTACAAATATACTGAGGCCTTTATATAACCAGCAAAGGAGCCAACAAGAAAAACTCCAACCCCGTAGGGGAGAGGGCGTATTAGGTGAGGAAGATGGCATTTCTAATCAGTTGGAAAACTTGAGGTGGGGTTTCCCTTTTTTCTTTCGAACTTTACTTCTAGATAATACATGAGTATGATTATTACTTAATCATTCGGAAATATTTCCATTTCAACAACAGGCAAGTAGCCAGGTCTTTTTTCCCTGCTCCTTTAACTGAGAACCTTCTACCTATACCTGGACAAAGACATGAACTGCAGGAGCCAAGTGCTAACCAGCCTCACATCTCAACGTTTCCTTCTGGCTTCTTAGGTTATTTTGGCCTGCAGATGTTTTGAGTAAGTTATTTTTAAAAATGGAATATCCTCTAGTTCTAATAGTGATGGCTATTCCAGTGTGTTCCATAAGCCACTCCTCTAGTTTTTCTGTAAGTGGATACTTCACCGTTAAAATTTCCTTTTCCCTAAGAACCCGTCCCCCAATTCCAATGGTTTGAGTTTGTCTGCCAACTTTCTGCTCCATTTATAGATCCCAAGAGCAATTGCTCCCTCCCCTGAAAAAAAAGTCTGCCATTGCTATTGGAATGAAAGAAGTAGCAGAAAAGATGAGATTAACAGGACACACGATAGCCTTTAATAATCCTGTGACCATCACTTTCTTTTTAGATTCTTTCTTTGTGTGTGTGTAAATGGGCGTGTGCATACTGTGTGTGTATTTTGACTGAAATCTTGAGACATTTCTTTGGCTATCAGACTTCTGAGAGAAATTGCTTTGCACAGAAGCATAACATAGATGTAAGTATTGAACCAAATGTGCAGCTTATGTTTATATTACAAAATTAGTTTTGGTCAGCTCTCCATGTACGTGGCCAACAGACTGAGAAAAATCCCAAGCTCTGGTGTGGACAGTGAGCACAATTACAGCTTATGCCAGTGTTGACAGTTCATTGAGCAAAGCCCTAGTTATTTTGGAGTCTCTGCTGCATTTCTCTAGGATATGAGCAGAAAAGACACTTTGTTCCTCCCCATGTTTGTGGCCTTCCAGCAGACCCTGGAGTCCACATGCGAGGGGCGATGGAGAAATGGAGGAAAGAAGAGAAATGCGAGCTCCATTTTCTTTTCTCCAACCCACAAGTCATAGTGAGAAGAAAGCAACAGATGCTTTGGCACACGATCCAGGATGACCCCCCCTCACAAAAAAAAAAAAGAAAGAAAGAAACAAAAAAAAGGAACACCCCCACCCCACCCAAAGAAAAACCCAATAATGAGACTCACAGGATGGCTTCAACAGTAACACCCATCACATAGGCGGTAACAATAGATGGGGAAGATGGGAGAAATCAGGCTTCATATTTTTCCGTTAAGTACAAATGTAAAAATTCATAACACAACTCTACACGCAGAGAAGAGTAGACTAACAATCGCGGTTGCAATGCCATGTTTCAGACTTTGGTTAATAGGTTTCGTAGTGAATCAGCACTTGGTACCTGAAAGGATGCAGTCCTTCCTCCAGGTGGCAGGCTTGTATTCGCTTTTAACAGGTAAAAGTTTTTGCTTGCTTGCTGTTATGTCGTTTCGTGTGTGGGTTTTTTTTTTTTTTTGGTTTAGTTTTGTTTTGTTTTTTCTTTTTCCTTAAAACGTGTTCACATTTCCTTAATATACAGAAAAGAGTACGTGGTTATTTGGTTTGCTTTAAGTCCATTAGAAAATGCTTTGGGGAGACAGGTGGGGCGAGGGAACTATCCTATCACACACACCTTCAGTGTGGTATATTCCTTGTTTAAAAACTTTCAAAAAAAAATTTTTTTTTGTTTGTTTTTGGAAAACCAACGGACATGTATAAACCATTCTGTCCACTTGGTAGTTTTCTTAGTCTTTTACTTACAAGGGTGATGACTGGGACTTTTTTTTTTTTTTAATTTTTTTGTTTGTTGGAGGTACCAAGGGTGGAGTGAGTTTCTGTGAATTTTGCGTCTGATGATGTGGTGGGCGTCTCCTTAGGAGTTTTCTTCCAGAGAGTCTGTTAAGGGCTCCAGAGGGACTGCTGAGGCTGGCTCGTGCTGTTTTAAGCGTTTAATCGTGTTCTTCAGGGCTTGCCTCTTATTGCAGAACCAAACTCTAACTACTTCCCGGTCATAGTTCAGCTTCTCAGCAATTTCGGTCATTTCCTGCCCAGAGGGGTGTGTGTTCTTCTCAAAGTGGGCATTGAGGATCTCAAGGGCCTGGGGTGTGAAGGAGGTGCGCCGCTTGCGCTTTTTGGATGGCTCACTCCCGATAAATTCGGTCAGGTTCTGCATACCTGCTCGATGGCGGGCCTCAGCCTCAGCCATCCACCGCTCAAGCACCGGCTTGATCTTCTGGGCACTTTTAGGGGTGATGTCCAGCTTTTCAAACCTGGCAGGATACAAAAGGCCAGGGTTCAGTTTGGCTGTCAGACTGCTAGCTATAGTGTTCTCTTGGGCTTCCTGTGGTAGGAAAAAGTGGCTTCTCAGGATGGTGTGTCTGAGGGGAAAATTGAGAAAGAACAGTCTTACACTGAGTCCTCTGCCAGGGTGGGCTTCCTGCCTGCCTGCCTGACTGACTGGCAGAGCTAATTCACTCCAGATTAACAGCCAGCTGCAAGGTGGCCACCCCCACCCTCAGCCAATGCCTGCCTTCCCGCCATGCCTCATGCCAGAGCATGCAACCCCCAACCCACACACAATGAGAGGGTCAGGGAGGGGCGAGACAGCAAGACACAAGGATATCACAATGGGAAAAAAGAAAAAACAAAATCGGATTTTTTTCCTGTCAACTCTGAGATCTAAGCTTTTAATTTTCATCATACCAGCACCTTGTCCCCAATCCTTAGAATCTTTAAGGCAACAATTAACACCTGGAAGTGACATCAACCTCAACAACTGTCATGTTCTTTCATTTAAAATTATTTCTTTATATGTTTTACATTGTAAACGGAAAAGTTTCAAACTGGAGGCACTCCTGTCAGACAAAAGAAGGCCAACATGCATTCCCAGGAAGCAAAAGGTCAGGATGTAAACCATTTGTTCATGGAAAGAATGTGTCAAGATGTAAACAATTTGTTTCTGGGAAAAATGTGTTCATGACCGCAATCATGTACAACCTGCTGGTGCCAGTCACCTAGGTGGTAGGTAACTCACTTGCTTCTAGCCAAGTGGCCGACCTTTACATTTCAAAGGACTTCAAGCTGAAGTTGATCTTACCTATAATCAATCATTTACCCCCTACCATTCCTTTGTTCTCTGTGTATGCAGATCCCTCTCTCAGCTTGAACAGTGGAGTGCTTTCTATTTTTACTTAGCATTGCCCAGCTAGAGCTGTATTATTCCTCAATGAAACTTACTTTCTTTCACTGCTAACAGTGTACCAAATTTTCTTCTTTGACAACATTTGGCTTTCTTTAAATTCTCCTCATTGACTTGGTGATGAAAATGTTATTATAATAGTCACGGATGGCAACTGGGCTAAGTTTCTTTTATGTCTTTCTGTCATGTATGTGTCATTTTAACTCTCTCTTTTTTGTTAGCAAACAATTTTCACCATAGGTAAGTTAACAACACGCTCCTTTTCCAGGTAAAACAGAGCCAGTTGCTACTTTACTGTTCCACTCAAACAGCTGGACACATTGTAATTACTACAAACACCCCACCCCAGGATGTGCTAAGGCCACCTGATGCCTTCCAAACAGGTCCAAGTAATGATGTGCTTTTGTACAAGGGCATCAAGCTGTGTTTAATGTGTGATATCTGCAAACTGTGCTTGAATGACACCATTTTCTGTAAATGAGGTCTTCTATATATCAATTGCCATCAGCAATTCTTTGCTACATTGACTTTAAAAAATATGAAGCATCTTGGACAAAATTACATAGAGTGTTTTAAGAGGTCATCCTGGTACCAAATTCATCCTCACTCTTGATGAAATACAAAAAAGTACCCATTCCTTTTTGTTTGTCTGTTTACTCTAAATCCAAATTCACAACTATCCAGTATGACATTTGGTTACATAGAATTCCCCTCTCTCTTTTAAAGTGTTCAATACCGTTGAAAAACAACAGTCTGGTTGCAGATTGCATCTCATTACAGGGGTCTGTTCTCGTAGAGCAAAAAAGTAAGCCTGCTTTAGTCAGTTAAAAGATGTTTTATAGGATGTTTGTAAAAGAACACAAAAGGATAGGCATAAGATTATATGATTATAAGACAATAGGATAGGCATAAGATTATATGCCATAATCTTATTTTTAACATTGTATTTTAGATAGCTTATGTTGTGATAAACAGCACAAACAGTATCAAATTTTAATGTGATCCCCACAGCATATACTTCCATGTGTAATTCAAGAAGTTATTTGCTTATTTTTAAAATTCCAACTTCCAGTGCTGGTCCTGGAGGGAAGAAGTACATTTTGCTTTCAATACCAAGGGAGCTAACCATTTAATGCCATTTTATAAGCTTGTCACTTGTGGCAAGCTTCCCAAACACTGTCATTGCCCTGCTAATTTGCCACATACCACATTTTGCCACTGTTTACCATAAAAGCCCCAAAGCTTAAATTCTTGATAGTATGACACAGGCTTTATAGCTCCATAGCACTGAGGGGCAAAGCTTGTGATAAGGATGTCCAGGACATTGGAAGTGTCTTTTCCTCTGTGCGACTTGTCAAAGCAGCGCCTAGGACATACCACAGGTAATAAGAAAGTGACAGCTGGGGCTGTAGGCTCAAATGCAGATTCCTTCCGACCTTTTCAATTAACTGAAATGGTCCCAATGTAAGAGCTAGGTCTCTTTCAATACTTTCCATTCTTTTCTCAGTAGGTCGCCCCTGAGGCTACCTCAGGAAACACTGGAAGCTGGAAAAAGGAAGCTAGTCAAGGCATCTGGCATGTTTTATTATACAGTGAATTTCCAAGGTCTCTTTTCATTCCAGCTATAGATTTATTGGCTCCCATCTCTGGGGAAGACTTTAGAAATCAACATATTTGATTGGGAATGCCCAAGAAACACTAAAGGGGTTAGTTAAAAGATTAGCTAGCACTTAAACCAAAACAAGGAAGTCACATTTTAGGATTAAAAAATAAGCCAAAGAGGAGTTTAGCAACAATAACAAATTGGCAACAACTTAAAAATCTGTGGCTGCCTTTATCACAAGTCTGTCAAGATGAAAGAAAATTAATGTTTCCCAGCAGGGAGCAGCAGTATTCATATCATTGATGCTGTTTGTTAGTGCTGATGCTTCCGTACATGTTGGTCAGAATAACATAGACAGTTATAAAGCCTTCAGACAAATTTCCCAGCAGTAGTATCCTTGTATAGACTGAATAAAGGTTATTTTCTACAGGGAGGTATCTTATAAGAAAAAACAGTAGGGGAGGCCATAGAAGCGAGAGGATCCTATGGTGCTTTTTGTATTTAACAACAATCAATGGGTTTTATGGAAAATCATTGAGCAAAATGTGAGCTGCAAGGTACTACCCCATACTGATGTTATTTATAACCTTAGTCTTAAACTGCAGGAAAAGTACACTTCTATCCTTTGGGGAATACATTAAAAGTATAAAGAGCAGATAAAAAGACAGCATTTCATGGATCACCAAGAACAAAATCCACTTAAATGAGTTTAGAGTTGGTTTCTTGGCTTTTCCTGATGGAGGAGGACCCATAAGGCATTGCCCAAGAGGAAAAAGCTCTTACTGAAGTGCCTGTGTTACCTCATGCATAAACAAGGGATTAGTGCAACACATACATGCACGAGCAGGGTCTGCCACTGACGACTTAACCCAGATCAACTTGAACACAACCAAGGCTGGATCTGTCACTTGTTTATTTAATCTTGGGGGACCACAGTAGGCCAGATTCTCACTACCGTTTTCTGAGCCATTGAAAACAGCTGCTGCTTTTTCAAATGTGCTTTGAAAGCTGTGTCTGAGACGGCAAGTTAAATCTTTCCTTCAGGTAATGAGATGGTTAATTTTTTTTGGCTGTGCGTTTTCTTGGAAAATCATGAGAGGTATCCCCGGGCAGAGATGGTGAGAGTGTTAACACAAATGAGGACTGGCAGCTTTACAATGCTTGCTCAGGATCCCTCCTTGCAGACAGGAAAGGATGACTCTCGCTACACAGGAGGGTGGCCCCAGAGGGAAGTCTCCTGGCCTGGGGTTGTGTACTTGTACCAAGACCGCCTTGGAGGTTCTTTGTGAGTTGACAGGAGTTATCAAGCCAGGACCCCGAGTCTGTTTCAGCACCTTCATTTCCATCACATACCAACAATCCCAACGTATAGCTACCCTTGACTTTGTTCCCATGCGCGGCCCCTCATCCTTGCCCACCCGATGAAGAAAAGCTAAGCCTCGAGGACAAACGAGGCCCGGCCAGGAGAGGTGACAAGATGCGGGCGCCGGTTACCTGCAGATGGCCGACTGGCTGTACGCGGGGCCCTCCGTGGCACTCAGAGCCTGTCCCACCTGAGTCTGCGTCAGGCCAAGGGACAGGCGCCGGATTTTAAAAGCTTTGGCAAATTCTCGGATCTCCTCCAGATTAACCCCATCCACCTCACCCGCTGCCGTTTGAGGATCTGTGGAGATGTTTTTAAAAATAGGATCAATACGTCAACACATATCCGAGTCATAGCCGTTTATTACGGTTTATAGGAAAGTGGCTCTCTTTAATGGCACGGCAGTGGGGAAACTGGTATCGTGGAATGTTCTCTTTGTCTCCCAGGTGAGGCACCCAAGCCCCTATCCTCAGTTCATTACACCTTCATAAATCATCCTTGGAGAGGTTTCTATCCTAAATAAATCCACAGCAGTGGTTTTATTTCACAACACAAAAGCACATTTCTTAGGGTTTAACAAATAACAGCACTTGCTACGGGTGGGGGAGGGGGGGCAACTCCATTTTGTCGGCAAATACGTTCAAATGTGCAAAAATATGAAAATGGAAGGGATTCTATCTGAAATATCTCGATCGAGATCTTCAGCGCTAAAAAAAAAAAAAACCCTTGAAGGAGATAGTATTTGGCGTTTCTCCCTCCCGTGATCACTAATGAAGCCAGGCTGAAAAAGAACAAACCAAACTCTTTGCCGTTGAGTCGATTCCAACTCATAGTGACTCTACAGGACAGAGTAGAACTGTCCCATAGGGTTTCCAAGGTTGTAATTTTTACAGAAGCAGACTGCTACATCTTTCTCCCTCAGAGGGGCTGATGGGTTCAAACTGCTGACCTTTTGGTTAGCAGCCAAGGGCTTAACCACTACACCACCAGGGTTCCTTGAAACTAGGCTAGTAGATGGTAGTGTTACCTCATTTCGTATGTTTGCGCTAGCCCCTCAGAAGAGCATGCTTATGAAACTGTGAGAACAATATTGTTTTTTTCCCCCATAGCAGTTTACTGACACAGCTGCCTTTGTCCCCTGAAACGGCACATAATAAAAAAATGCCTACCACAGGAAGGCTGCTTTGGTGCCAGATAACGTGGTCAATTTAGGACTTATCGAGGGAAATGACACAACAGCTGGAGAATGAAACTCCCCCTCCCCCGCTGCTGATCCCCGGATAAATGAAAGTGTACACCAGGCTGGAGACAGCATAGGATGCGGATGGTGCAAGATTTCAAAGTGTTGCTCAATCCTGCCTGTAGCGAAGCCATTCTCCCGTGAGCTGCCTCTATTGTTCTTTGCCTCATTCCTTGGACTTAGGTGAAAAGTTTTTCTTTTCCTCTTTCTGCACAATAACCCATCAATTTCAGTAAATTCTAGTGCTTTCCAGCGACTGTGGCTGACTAACTCCTGTTATCATGACAAGAAATAAACATTTGCATCCCAAGTGCCAATTTTTCAAGGACTTTTAAATAGGGATGTTAACATTTGTGGTGGGCTTGGAGCTTCATGTATAGATTCTCTCATTGCAAGAGAGGGATCCTCTCCTGCCAAAGGAAAATTGATCCTGTCAATAGGTGTTACTGTACCTTCATCTTTACATTTGAAAAGAAGTCCTGTAGAATTCGTATATGCCTTTAGTCATAATTTTGTTGTGAAATGATTGAGAAGTGGTATGACCACCACAGTCAGTCTGTATATATTATTTAAGGGACTGCTGCGTGTCCTAACTGGAGTGAAGGGAGGGGACAAGAGAAATATAAGAAGCAGTCCCAGCCTTATTGGAGTTAACAGTCTATAGGAGTTGGGGGATCAATACAAATGCATGAGAAATAATTAGAGAAGAATATCAGGCAAAGTATAACCAAGGACTAATGGTGTGATGCCCACACTAGAATGTGCAGAGAAGGGGCAGGTGACAGGAGGGGGTTTCTTCGGGGCCTTACCCAAGGGGCAGCTTTTGGAGAATATCACTAGTTGCCATCTAGTTGACTATGACCCATGTCGACCCTATGTGTGTCAGAGTAGAACTGGGCTCTGTAGGGTTTTCAATGGCTGAGTTTTTGGAAGTAGATTGCCAGGCCTTTCTTCCAAGGCATCTGTGCGTGTACTAGAACCTCCAACGTTTTGGTTAGTAGCTGAGTGCGTTAACCACTTGATTCACCTACAGACTCCTTTCAGAGAATGGAGGAGGCATGTTATGGTCAGTGGGAACAGAGTACGGACAAGCACGGATGCAGGAAGGGACAAAGCATTGTGGGGCTGGGAAGGATGTTGGTGGCTGGAGTAGGAAGTGTGTGGTAGGAGTGGTGAATATTTCACTATAGCACAGTTGAGAATCTCTGTGTATGGACCAGGCTGGGGCTGGGGACAGGAGGACTATGAAACTGGTCTGGCAGTCATGATTAATGAAAACTCTAATTTTTCTCCCAAAAATTTCCCCTAGAAGGCTGACAATATTTTGTTATTGAAAGACTCAGTTTGGGTTGTCCCTTGTGGAGGTTGCCCTCTGGATCTTAAATCCCACCAGCACTCCAGCCTGGAGCAGCTTTGGAAGTCACACCCAAGCACAAAGGAGCCTTAAGCCCTTTCTCTCATTTCGTTTTAAAATTCCTAGTGCAGAAGTTGCAGACGAGCAGCCTGTGAATAAAACCTAGCTTGCCTAGTGTCTAAAAATATTTTGAATTATTTGCCAACATTTAAACATTGGAAGATTTCTAACGAAAAATCTAGATTTTCACCTTCTCTTGACATTCTGGAAGCTTTGGCTGAGCTGGGCCTGCAGTTGCATTGTGCAACAATCAGTGAGCTGGAACCTGAGTGACTGCCCCTTAGAGCCTCATCATCCTCTTCTCCACTTTCCTCAGACCTCTGCCTGCCAGGGCCTGGGTGGTGCAAATGATTTGTCCTCAACTATTAACCTAAAAGGTTGGCGGGTCAGACCCACCTAGAGGTGCCACAGAAGAAAGGTCTGGCAGTCTTGTTCTGTAAAGATTGTTGTTGTTGTGTGCCATAAAGTCGATTCCAACTCATAGTGACCCTATAGGACAGAGCAGAACTGTCCCAAAGGGTTTTCTAGACTGTAATCTTTATGGAGCAGATCAACAGGTTTTTTCTCCCATGGAGCTGCTGATGGGTTCAAACTGCAGACCTTTACAGCCAAGAAAACCTTATGGAACAGTTCTACTCTGTAACACATGAGATCTTCATGATTCAATGGGATTGTTTTTTTTCGATCTGCCTGCTGAGCCCAGAGAGTTTTAAGTTTTAACCTCTGCATTTAAAGCATGCATTTTCAATGTGGCTGCTATTGCCCATCCCCCCCCAAAACACACCCACCCACACACACACACACACACACACACACACACACAAACCTAAATCTGTTGTTGTCCAGTCGATTCTGACTCATGGTGATCCCAAGCCAAAGGGGGCAAAATTGGTTCTTCGGGGGAGGATAAAAAAATCTTAAAGATTACAATGACAGTGCCTCCCCGCCCAAGGGCCACGGTATACAAATAGATATGCAGTATAACTGTGGTGTTACAATTTCATGGGGAACCCAACCCAAACCCATTGCCATCAAGTTGATTCCAACTCATGGTGACCCTATAGGACAGTGTAGAATTGCCCCATAGGGTTTCCAAGGAGCAGCTGTTGGATTCAAACTGCTGACCTTTCGGTTAGCAGCCGATCTCTTAACTACTGCACCACCAGGGCTCCACGATTTCATGGGGGGTGGGGGACAATTAGGAAAAAATAATCTAAAAAGCCTCCTTGGGGGGCAGTGATAATTAAAAAGTAGCTGAGAAACACTGGGTACAGAATGGTACAATGAGAGAGGGGCTGCGCTTCTCTCTGACAGGTGGGGAGAAGGGCGTTGGCCGTCTTGCAAAGCGGGACAACCGAGGTTCAAAACAGAGGGAAAGGAACAAAGACAGAGACTTTCCTCGAACAATCTGGTTTTTAGGACTCTGGTTTTCTTACATTGGTGGGCATACAAATCACCTGGTGGAGCCCAGGAATGTGCATTTCTAACAAGTATCACAGGTGATTCTGACACAGGGGTCCACAACCCACTTTCTGAAATCCTTCTTTAGGTGGTTCCAGCCTGACCGAGTCCGAGTGTGGCATCTTCTGCAAAGCATTGTCTTTTCTTGACCCTTTAGCATTATTATTCACCAGGTTCCACGACACAGAAACGTGCTCCCCCACCTATGAAAGACTGATGAGGCCAGGCAGGCCTGGTGAGAAGGGATTCCTGGGCAGGCACATCCTCCTTTGCTCTTTCCCGCACCTGTACCTCCACTACATTTGGCGAGCGGCAAACATCTTGGGAGTGAGGGAACTAGGGGGCCAGGTGGTCTGGGGCTGGGGGAGAGATTTTCTCTGAGCAGAGTTAAGTAGTCCTTGTGGGAAGTGAATTTGTGATCTTGGCTCATATGAACCCCAACTCTAGATCAAATAGAATCAGTTGAGTTAGCCAGCACATGAGGCAGAGGTCTTTAATCTGAAGGATTTCCTCTGGTCTATTCCAGTCTCACAAGTCCCCGAGTGGTACAGACGGTTATGTGCTCAAATGCAAACCAAAAGCTTGGCAGTTCAAATTCACCCAAAGCACCTTGAAAGAAAAACCTGGAGATCTACTCCCAAAAGGTCCCAGCCATTGAAAACCCTAGGGAGCACAATTCTTCTCTGAAATACATGGGGTCTCCACGAGTTGGAACTGATTTGATGGTAACTGGTTTTACTCCAGTCCCAGGGCTTAACGAGACTTAACAGTGCAGTAATGGGCAGGTTTATGACTTGGTTGCAATTTCATGTAAAATGGTTCTGTCATATTTTTTCCCTTCTCCTGCTGCCTTTATTTTTTATGCCTCCTAATTAGTTCCCTGAGACCAGGAGCTAATTCTATATGTGTGATGGTGCAGGCTCCTTTTTGCCAGATCACTGACTAAGAGTCAGTCAAAAGGAAAGCCGTGGACTTTTAGCCCGATGCGTTGAGCAGTATTGTGTGGATTATCAATAATCTCATTCTAATGCTCAGAGAGATGGGAGTCTATGCCACTGAGCCCCATGTCTTCCAAGAGGCCCCCAAACAAACATTCACCACCCAGGAAGTTGAATTCCTTCTTCCTCCCCTCACACATTTCACTTTTGCCTTCTTCCTGGTTCTACATATAGAGGGGATAAGATT